AGTGCTTACAATATATCCGTGTAATTAAAAACCTATCCCGGGTTTATAATTCAGCCCCGTTCTCCCCTGTTGATATCAATTCCGCCGATGGCTTTAAGAATCTGGGTTTTCCGAAGAATTTAAGAACCTTTTTTAATGACAAAGGAAACCGTGTCAATTGAGAAATAAGGCGCATTAGTACCCTGAGCTGAGACTTGCCAACCTTGAAAATCATGCATGAGCAGTGTAGTCCTTAGAGGAAGGACTTGTTGGTGGTGAATGCAATCAGAGATTCTAAGGGATACGATCATCTTCAGTGGAAAATGAACAGTGAGCAAATGAAAGAATGGAAATGTCATTGTTTAATCTTTGATCTCCCATCCAACCATTTATATATGTTTGGTAACAGTGAGCAGAGATATCTAAGGGAAATCTTACCGGTCGTCCTTTGTTCCCCACGGGACCTATGCCGCCATCTTTACCTCTGTCGCCCTAACATATAGAAAATAATATTAAAAAATAAAAAATATATAAATAGTTTTGAGTCTGAGATACTTGGATCTGAACACGTGAACTGCTGAGAGAACATGAGAGAAGCTGGGAAGCATGACACAAAATTGAGTGGTTTACGGTTTCTCAGACAGGTAGGTTTCTCGGGTCTTTCTTGGTGTAGCAAGCTTTATTATATAGACCACTTGAAGCACGTCGGAATGCAGCTCAATTTAGACGACACAACAATGTTTTCAGTTCTCATGAGATTGAAATTCTTTTGCTTTGTCCTCCAAATTGAGCTGCTTTGACTTTACATGCAAGGGGTCTATTCAGGGTTAGGTTTTTTGTTTTACAAGGTATTGTTTAGCTCCAAATTCTTTATCTTTGGCTATTGTAGTATTGTCTTCATGCCTCAGGTGCCTTCCAGTAACAATAAAGAGCCGGTTTCTCTCTTTACAATACTCCAATTTCGAGTTCGCGTTTGCTCAGTCTTAGCCTCGATTGCGTACAAATGTGTTCTTTTCTCTTATTAAGGTCCATTGTGTAGTAAGGAATGTACGTACTACGGAACAATACGAGTTGATTAAAATGCCAGGTGTTTCGGTTGAATGGCTGAAGACACACACAACTATGTCTGAGCAAAGAAATTTCGAAACTGGAGTATTTCTTTTTTTGGTAAAAATGTGTGACACAAGCACGTAGCCGCAACTTACCGTTTGTCCTGGGCTACCCCGCGGTCCCTCGGCTCCGTTGTATCCCTAAACCGATATAAAATTATGCTTATATCATTTGTCGGAAATTAAATCTGGGTCATCCTGGGCATCTTCCGCATAAGAGAGATAACCATATATCCGTGAAAAGTAAACAAAATCGTACAAACTAGTAGAAAGTTTTGTAGGTTTACGGTCTACTGTTTCCACTGAGCATACTAATTTGTGCAAATGTGTGCAATTTCTTACAAGGGTTTTCACGGATATATGGTATGCACTCTATGACAAGCCAGTATATCATTGAAATCACTTTTGGAGAATTATATTAGGAGGGTGGTGAAATGTTTTCCTACTGCAAGGCACGCATCATTCTCTTGAGAATAAGATTCTTTGTTAAAGTTATGTATCCATACTCGTGTATCTTCTCATGTGCAATCGTTAAACAAAGAAATCATACCCTAGGGAATGACACGTGGTTTGAGGTGGGAAAACATTGGTTCAAACTAAAAGTTCTTTTCCATGGTGTTTTGGGGGGTATCTTCCATAGAAATTTAACAATCAAGCTGTTCCAATCGATTTTTGAGGAAAAAGGGATGGGTTCATTACTCCATGAGCCCTTTTCAGGAGTTTCAAGAAGGAAAACAATTCAATAAATTAGTGAGACAAATCTTGATCAATGTATCACACGGAATAAGGCTAAGATTATAACAATCATTTGTTTAGCTTTTCTGGCTCCACTGAACCCCAGGGTTGTGTATTACTTTTTTGTCTGCTCTTTAGCCCTCTCTCTCTCCCCCTGACCTCTCCCCGACCTCTCCCCGACCCCTCCCCGACCCCTCTCCGACCCCTCTCCGACCCCTCTCCGACCCCTCTCCGACCCCTCTCCGACCCCTCCCCTATATTTCTCCGACCCCTGTCTTTAACAGGCGAATGAGCAATATGCCACCTTATAAAAAAAAGTCAAAGACAAAACTTCTCAAGGAAAGCTTTTATATTTCTCGGCACCAAGCGTATCTTCGCCCGTAGCCTCGCTATGATGTACTTGGTAACGACATCTCGGTAATGGGCTATTGACGTGACTTACCCGAGGTCCTGGGTTGCCTTGTATACCAGAGACACCTTGTTCTCCGCGGTCACCCTGTGGAATTATCAATACGAGAAAAAGATCACAAAAATTTTGATCTGGGCCCGGATGTACAAAGGGTGGATAGCGCTGCTGTTATCCAATAAATTTATCCACTGGAAAAGATTTAGCCGTCGGATAGCGCTATCCACCCTTACAACCGGGCCCAGAAGTATAGAAATTACGGAAATATCCTAGCCCTTGGTCATCTATTCAAATCCAAGTCCACGTTTTCATAGATTTTTTCCCCTGCGCGGTAGCGTGCCGGTGCTCTGCTAATGTGCCCCCTCTTCAACCAGTGTTTCGAAGGTTTCAACGATAGACGCGTCATCATATGTGAGCAAAGTTTTTTGGTTCTATTATGCGTTTCTAATACTCTTCTCCCGGTTATCTGGTGTTTCTTACTCCGCAAAAATGGACCGCGTTGGTCGCTTAAATAGACGTTGGTCGTCAAGTACAGGTTCTACTGTAGATACATAGAAATGTTTGCTCACGTGAACTCCTTTTGCCCCAGGTCTTCCTGGAACACCAGCTCTACCGATGTTACCATTAGCACCCTTGACACCCGGTTTTCCTCTGTCTCCTCTATCTCCTTCAACGCCAGCATATCCCTTCTCCCCTCGTGGGCCTTCTTTGCCCTTGGGACCTGGTACACCAGGTTTACCAGGAGCACCACTCGGACCAGCTGAACCCTGATAATCATCAAACAAAACAAAAATTTTTCAATAAGAAAAATATTTATTAATATATTCTTTGTTGATTTATCCTTTCGTCCGTTTATTTATTCATTGATTCATTCGTTTGTTCTTTCGTTCCAAATAATGGAAGAAGCTGGAAAGGCAATCACTTTGAATTTATCGTCCTCATAAAAAATATGGCTTAAAATGCCAACAAAGCTTACCTGAACTCCCATTCTACCAGCCGGGCCACTATTCCCAATAGGACCCTGAAGACGTAACATAGAATATGATTACAACGTAAGGAGGTGATTTACATTGATTTACATACTAAATATCGGCGGGTATCTAAGTACCTATATAACGATCTATTAAGTTTCCAGGAATACAACTAGTGAAACCTCACCAATATATAGATTCTATGATTTTAGCAAAATACCGATGACTTTTTAAATCGAAAAGCAACACGAAAAATAGGGGGGAAAGCTCGAGTAAGTACGTTTAGGTCACCTATCCAGGTACCAATCATGCTTAATAGGGCCCATATGACTTAATGCCTTGAAAAGCCTAGACATGCATGTACCCAATACTACCCAGTYTAAAGACTAAACCACTCGATTAAACCCACCTTGCACCCGATACTACCCAATATACCCAACTAAACCCACCCTGTTACATGCACCCAATGCTACCCACTACACCCAACTAAAGCCATTTGAATCAATGCAAAATAATATTCCTGCCATGCACTTGACTGGTAATAGAAAATATCATATATCATATATACCGTATATACCGTATATACCGTATATACCGTATATATTTTTATACCTGCATTCCAACTGTCCCAAAAGGTCCTTGAATTCCTTTACGTCCAGCTGGACCCTAAAGAATAGGAAGACAAAGAATCAAATTTCTCGGCTCAAAATCTTGGGCACCTTGTGGATTAATCCAAAGTTGTGGTCACGTCTTCGTCACGGAACTAGATGCAAGCCGCTTTGAGCATCGAGCAACTTAAAGAAAGGCCTTCCTCCAAAATAGTCGCACTATTTTCGGTTATTATTTTTATAACAGGTACTTCTAAATATTCACTCATTCTACCAAATCTTTTAGAAATTCGTCCAACCACTATGACGTCACAAGATGCAAAACCAAACATGTTCGCAAAGATTACACAGTAATGACCTCTGCTTCAAACCACTTGTCATTCCCTTCAGCATTGTTCCTTTGTTTGTAGCCTTCGTCCCCAGGCTACTCTCGTCGCTTTCGGGCCTGATGTCACGCATAAACCTCTGTTAGCTCTGACGCGTCCGCATTTTGAATTTGGGAGAGCTGTAAATGAGAAGCAGGGACGAGACTAGTTCGTTTGGAAGAAAAGAAGTGTATTCAATCCGAAATGACAAGTGGTCTGAAATGGGAAAACACTACGCACAAGGTAAACAAATTTATGTAGCTTAACACAGTTTTGATGTATAAAATGGTTTTAAAACGTACTTGTTTACCAACGGGTCCTTCTTCGCCTGGTTCTCCATCTGGTCCCTGAAAATATACCATTTAACCTTTACTTGCGTGACTAGCGTAACGCAATACAGTACAGTCACTCATACGTTATGCCTACATGGATACGTTTGTACAGGTAGATTCTGGAAGGAATACTAACTTTTTTTCGTGATTCCTATGTTTTTCCCCTATATTTTTTTTCCTTTCTTCCTGTACTTTCTTTTTTCGTCCTTCCTTCCTTCCTTCTTTCTTTCCTTCTTTCTTTCTTTCTTCCTTCCTTCCTTCCTTCCTTCTTTCTTTCCTTCTTTCTTTCTTTCTTCAGTGTTTCTGTCTTTCTTTCTTTCTTTCTTTTTTCCCTTCTACTTACATGCACTTCCTTCCTTCCCTTTTTTTCAATTCCTTCATTCAAAAACCAAACAAGTAAAAACTGACGTTCCATTTTTATAGATGATTTGTACAAACAAAATGTCGTCGTCGTTACCTTATGCTTACTACTCTAGAACATACAATCTATTATTACACTTACCCTCTCACCATCCTCTCCCGCCCCACCAGCTTCCCCTACGCGGCCACGCTTTCCTTGATGACCGGCCTTCCCATTATGTGCGTCTTTACCGGGGTCACCGACAACGCCCTTGGGTCCAGGGTAGCCACGCCTTCCTCGTTTTCCCGGAGCACCTCGATCACCCTTGATTTACAATAAACACACATCTTATCAATTACCGCTGTGTTCCTTGATTACAGCCTTGTTTACTCAGGCTTAGCTTCGAATCAGTGTCCAAATATTTACAAATATGAACGGAAAAGTAAAGAATGCACAACTTCAATACGAACACTTTGAAATAGTGCAGTTTTCGTATGACTGTGGAAAGTTCACGGCACGAACACGGTCGTAACACAGCAAGGGATACGCCAGATAAATCATATTGCACGTGAAAAAAATCAGCCAATTAAAATTCTAGAACGTATCACGGTCGAGGCACGTCACGCTTACGGCGCTGAGCTTTTCACAGTCATACGAAAACTGAACTATAACGGACCTTCACTAGAATGCAGGAATATTTAGTACAAAGTCGAGGCTTTGAGAAACAGAGATCTCGAAACTGGAGTATTCAACTAACATAAAGCCACAGGGTTCCCACCCCAAACTTACAGATACTTAGTCTAATAGTCTAGTGGGGCTATGGACTCGGCTACTTATATATGAGTAGAGTTTGTTTGCCTGCTGTACTCACTCACCTCGAAACCTTTTGCGCCTGGCTGACCAACCGCTCCGGGATCTCCTCTTGGACYCTTAAAAAGTAACATATAATTTCTACTTAAGAAAAGACAAACAAACAATACATATTTATTGAGGATACTGGAAATTATTTATCAATGAATCCTGTTGTTAGATAGATATATAAGTTCAATGGAAGAATGTAACCCACTTAATAGAAAATTTATTGACAATCTATAAAAAAACTATATAAGCTGCATATTGAATAAATAAATAAATAAATAAATTTTAGATAAAAATTAATAACAAATATAAAATAAAAAAACAAACAAAAAATAATGGACACCCGAATGACGGGTGGTATATGTATATGACTAAAAAAATCTATTACATTCTATAAAAACTATTTACGAGTTGTGCATTGTCTATGTCATAATTTAATTTCTTAATAGTTCTCACCCACTTATAATGCATGTTAATAGGACAATTGTATTATGGCGTCATTAACTACTGCTACTACTACCAGAATCCCTTGCACACTTTCTCTTGTTCAGTTAATTAGCAGCAATTGTTTTACTATTCTCATGAGGAAATACAAATTTGAATAAAAAAGGAAATTCGCAAGGCATTTTGGTAGTTGCACGAGCAGTAAAGGGACGCCAAGAGGCCTATGGACCCCTTTTCATTTCCTGAATGCAGCTGAATGTGGAGTATAAAAACAACAGAATTTTATTCTGAATTATTGTATTGTCGTCCAAAATGAGCTGTTGTAGGCTCTGCTGCGAGGAATCTATAACGTCCTATAATGATATTTATTGGTGATTGAAGCAAAGGATACCGTTTATGAATACTGATATGTTTGAAAATGAAAAAACATTAAACTATTAGGCTCAGATTAAAGTGCCCCTCGTCCCTAACTCGATATCGTTAGTATTGATTCTACGTGAAGTGAATAGTTGTGATTCGAGTGATACATCTCGGAGATATCAAGGTTTATACTTCCAATATGCTAATGATGTGATATCATTGGAGGCATGATTAAATATACAAAATTAGTAAAAATACACCGGTGATTATTGAAAATCTTGCACGCTGATTGGTCGAGAAACTCACACTATCACACGATAATCACCTCCAGCGATAATCCAAAATGGCGACCAGCCGCTTTGTTGCTGTTACCGGGAAAAAAATGTCTTTTATCTTCTTTTATTTTCTTTTTCTTTTTTGAAAAAATCACCTGTGTATTTATACTAAAACAATTATTTGCCTCAGCCTCAGCAAATATCGGAGAATATTTACCTCGCCGCTCGAAGACTCGCGTATCTTGGTATATATTCCACGATATTCACTTCGCCTACGGCGAATAATTGTTAAATATTCTGGGACAGTAAAACATCTGGTATAAAACATCATCGTCTTACTCGCGGCTTATAGAAAGGTTATTGCAAGTTTGTTTTCTCATAATGCTTCAATTTACAAATTATAGTAAGTAAACTCCAATGCCTCATATGTCATCAATGCATCACTCAAAACATATAAATATATTTTACTATTCAACTATTCTTTCTTTTTATGTAGAATCAATACTATAAGTGTTGAGTTAGTGATAAGGGGCACTTTAAAGCACAGGTAGCCCAAGCTTGGTTTCTGTGGTGTCAGGAAATGTATGGGGATTCTTCAAAAATTTCAATAAACTTCAATAAACCCTTGAACTGATTTTCCGTAATCATTGAGAAATAGAACTTCTTTCGCTCGGGCTAAATTCAATAATTAACCTCGCAGAGCGAAAGAAGTGTTATTTCTCAATGATCGGGTAAAATTTCGAGGCTTTATTTTACGTTGATTTGATTGAAATTTTTGAAGAATCCCCATACATTTCCTTATAACATGACACCACAGAAACCAAGCTTGGGCTACCTGTGTTTAAAGTTAGGACTTCTTGCCGTACAGAGTATCCTTGTTCTCCTGATAATCCGTTACTTCCTGGTCCACCGGGATATCCCTATAACAACGAGACAAATCATGGGTTAAAACCAGTTTGCGCTGTATTGTACTTGTTCGTTGACTGAATTCTCGACTTTCACATCCCCATAATCCTTTGCGTCTTTGGGGGGTAACCAGAGGGTAAAAACCCACTTATTTTGCTGAAGGCTGATCAGACAATGTTGAAAATACCTTGTTTGGTATCCAAAGATAAAATGAAGAAGTAAAAAACAGAAAAAGATAGAAGCTTGAAGACGTTTAAGGTAAATTTTA